AAAAGAGAGAGATGAACAACTTTGAAAATTAATCAATTCAAATCCCATTAAAAACAAATTGGTGAAAAACCTTTTTCTTTTTTTTCCTTTTCTCTGCCTAAAACCTATTTTCCCTTTAGATTGCCCACAACAAGTACAATTTTTGGCAAATGAACAAAGAAAAAATAAATGGACCCATGCTTATCCCATAAGTGGCTGTTTCAATTTGGGTGTAGTAAGTGCTAACCATCGTTTGTTCGCCTTGTTTTGGGGTTAATTCACAATCTCATCTTCAATTTGGTGAACCACTGTGCAGCATTTCCTTCCGTTGAAAAAAAAGTTTTCTGCCCCAATCATACCAGAGTTCCCCTTTGCTGTGTCCCAAAATAAGCCACGCATCATGGGAGAAGTTAAGATTTAATTTGGAATTAAAAAGAAATCGAAGAAGGATCACCAATGAGAATTTCCTTAAATCCATGCACTTTTCATTTGTTAGATTTTGTTGTCAGGACGTAAGAAAACTGACCATCCACAAAAAGCTGAATTTTTGGTCTTTTTGCTAACAGGGATTTTATCATGGCGCCTTCAAGAAACATGTTTTTGCATATTTATTTTCCTTTAAGCCAACATGTGAACCTAAGAACTCCAGGATTAATTCATTTGTTGTACAAATATTACGAAGGGATCTGCTGCAAGGATTAGTTGTTGACAATGGGATCTGCCCATTTTTGGTATTTTAGGGTTTAAAAAAACTGCTCTGATACCATGTAAAAATGTTAATGAAGAAAATAGAAAAGAATATTTGTATCTATTCATCTTACAAGGAGAGCAAGTCATGCTCTTTATAGATACAGCCAGTAACAAAAATACAACTAAGAAATCTCTAGGATCATAATAAAGATAAAAAGCAAATTTCAATTCAAAGTACGGATTTTAATATATCAAATAAATATTAGTTGGGCATATATCTGAAAACATATCTCAAAGTGCTAAAGTACTTTCGTCAATAATTAGTCAAACTCGGCTTCATTTTCTATTTTTTGCATTTTCTTCTTGTAATTTCTCTAATCTAATTTATTTTTGATCTAGTATTAATTTGGGTGCTATTTTTGTTATTGATATTTACTTTACAGGTCATGTTTTTTGAAATGGAATTTTTGAAATCGGTTGTATATTCCCTTTCTTCTTCCAACAAAAACAAATGAAAGGAAAATGCCTTTGATGAAATGGATAGGGATATTTTACTCATTGATTGATATTATTGATTTGATCTTTTCTATATTAAAAAATTTTTCTCTACTTCCCTTTGAGAATCTTATTTTTGGGTGGAGTTTAATATTTTATTGGGTAAAATGAGAACAGATTTTTTGCATGTTCCAATTGGATTCTTGTTGTTTGACTAAAAGCATGACTTAGTTTTGGATTTTGGGTCGCAATTCATCTTCCTACTTTTCATTAACAAGGAAAAATAGAGCAATGATCATGGAAAGGCAAGTTGTTGAAATGGAGGGCTAACAAATCTGCCTAGGGCCTCACCAACTCTTTAAAAGGAGTAAGCTCCAATGAAAATTACATGATAAATTTATGGAGCTGACATGGATAATGGAAGAAGGCATGGCTTGGGAAGAGAAGATTAAGAATTTAGAGGTCCACCCAGATTTTTTTATTGATTTAAAAGAATAATATCTACTTTTTTCTTGTGACCGTGTGATTTTCACTGCCTAGCCCAAGTAAAATGGGGTAAATTTTATCCGACTTTTAGCAAGTAATGAGATTTTTGGGTAAAAAAAGTAAAAAATGGGGCAATTGAATATTGGTTTAAAAGTTTCTGGAGGCAATTTGAGCATTTTGCCGTAATTATAGTTTATACTTCCTCCTTTAGTCCTTAATCCTCTAACGATTAAGTAAAAACATATATTTCTATTTTACATATGAATTTACCTCAATCAAGATTAAATTCCCTTAATTTACATAATATTTTCTTTCGCTATTTTATGATATACATACCTGATCTTTAATCAAATTAAATTACACTTCAAGTTCTTTTTAAATATTTTAGTACATAATGACAAGTGGATTTTTTTCGCAAGTGACGAAAATCACAACAAGTAATATAGAAAGAGTAGAAGTATCGTTTCTACAGGATTTGTATAACCAATCCAAAAATTAATGTTTAACATATATTATTTAAACAGACAATAAAGGAATTATTTTAAGAAACTAAATTTAAACAAATAAAAAAAAAACAAAAGAAATCACACAACAATATTTGACGAAAAGAAATCAGGATTTAAAGTACTAGGGATTTGGGACTTCAATCTTAATTCCTATCCAATTTATTTTATGTTTGTTATCAATTTTAAATTGTTCAAGGTAGGGAAACAACCTAAAATCACTAACAAGCCTTCGATGTAATTGTTAGCCGCTATTCTAAACTCCGGTCCTGATTACCTATCTTCGCAATAGCGCAATTTCCAAACATGAATTAATATTTAAGTTTTATGGTTTTTTTTGTGAAATTCATAAACTTAAGGTCATTGAACTTATGAAAACCCCCCCATGACGTCAGAACCATATAGTTCTGCATCAAAGTTTTATTCTCATGTATTTATTACCTTTTATATCATAAAAACACTTCTCCTGATTAGTGATAATGAAATAAATCAATCAGGGGAGAAACTCTTGCTGGAAGCATTAAGTCAATAATAAATTAATATCAATGAACAAGGAAAAGCAAATCTAATATTATAAACTTGAATCAAATTAAGTTTACAATCAAAATCCCTGGTATGAGGGTTTTTAAGTTCGACATATGTAATTAATAAAACCAATAATACTTGAATAATAACTTCCATATCAATAAAGAATAATGAAAAGAAAGACACAGATTAAGAGTTTAGAATAAAAAGCAGACACAGTTACGTGGAGCGGCTTTTCTTCGACCACTTGGCCAACTTGGATCTTGAAATCATTTGAGAGAGAGAAAGAACTATGGTAGAAAAATACTAGAACTCGATGAATACCTTTACAATGAATACGCCTCCCTTCTTCTTTATATAGATCCTCCAGGAAGCAATTCTGACTCTGTTTAGGCAATAGAATCCTTATTAAGTAACGAATCTTCTTAGGAGATCATTGACTATTTAGGCTTTGGATTTCTTCTTAGTTAGGACTCTTCTCTTTCCTAAATAAGGTTTAGATCTTGTTTTGGCATCATTTTAGGAAAAAATATCTGAGGCGGGCCATGTGAGAAAAAGCTTGGCTTGCCGTTTTTTAGTTCAAGACACTCTGCCTTACGAAGCATGGGCCGTGCCATCTGCACGGCTTGGGCGTGCTTAGAGTTCTGGATCTATGATGATTCAGCACGAGCTTGTGCTCTGCAACACGCTCAAGGATCTTTATGGCACGTCGTTGCGCTCTAAGCACGGGCAGGGCGTGCTAGGCTCTGTCTTTCCAAAGATTAGATTGCTCACGGTGTGCTAGGCAAACGCCCTGAGGTTTTTTGGGCACGCGGCCGTGCCAGATATGCACGGGCTAGCCGTGCTAAGTCTGACTCTCCACTTGGATTTCTCTAGCTTAGCATGGCCCGTGCTAAGGTGCACGGTTGGGTGTGCTAGAAGCTGAGTGTTTTAGCTTTATAATGTTCTTTTTCTGTGCCAAAACCCTACAAATTTCTTTAAAAATCAAGTGGATTATGATCAAGGAAGCTTTACACAAAAACATAAATAAAACTTAAATAAAAACTAATTAAAGTAATTAAAAAATACTAAAAAATCCTAATAAAAAATATATTAAAAATACTAAAAAAATAACATCTAATCAAAATTTCCTCAAACTTAACCATTGCTTGTCCTCAGCAAACAAAACTAAAAAATAAGAAAGAACAAATTGACCAAAATTAAGCTACTATGGTGGAGATTATTTAATTCATAAACTCAAAGATATCACAATCATTAATATGTGAAGTAATCAATTGTTTTTCATGTATGCTAATTAAAATATAAGCGAAAATTTCAATTTTTGATAAAATACATTCCTTGATTTAAACATAAGTTAAAAAGAATTTTCAACACTAAAATAATTAATTCAACTTATGAAGAATAGGATATGATTAACTCCACAAAAATTTATTTAACCTTTTTAAATAGAATGTTAAATTAGTAAATAATTTTCAACATTCTCGTATGCAAATTAGTCATTCCCTTCCTCACCAATTGAAATGCATACAAATTAAAAAGATCGATAAG